GAAAGGAAAATAATTTTAAAATCACTGTGGTTTTCTGCTGAGCCTTAATTGGTCCATTTCATGTGACATCACACAGAGTCCTTGTGAGGTATGATAGATACTAGCCAATAAAAAGGCACTGCCTAGGGCTGGATTTTGTCTGTGCTTCAGAGAAGCCATTGGTTGGTGGGAGAGCAGTTGGAGTCACTTGTTTCATAGATTTGGCCTTTTCCCCAACCTCTTGGATCTGGACATAGTGAGTTATCCTAGGTTTTTAGTTTGGGCTTTTGGCATTTGACATTAATCAATCAATCAATCAATCTATCTATCTATCTTCTATCTATCTATCCGTCTGTCTGTCTATCCATCTATCTATCAACCATCTATCTATCTATTTATATTTATTTACATTATTGGTTTGTGCTGTGGGATAATGTTTTCTTTATACTGGTTTAATAAAATGCTGATTTGCCAGTAGCCAGGTAGGAAGTATAGGCAGGATGAGCAGACTAAAGGAATGCTGGGAAGAGGAAAAGAGTCAGGAGTCACCAGCCAGATACACAGGAAGCAAGCTGACAAGGCAGAACTGTGAAAAGGTACCAAGCCACATGTCTAAACATAGATAAGAATTATGGGTTAATTTAAGTGTAAGAGCTAGTCAGTGTTAAGCCTGAGCTAATGGCCAAGCAGTTATAATTAATATAAGCCTCTGAATGATTATTTTATAAATGGGCCATGGGACTGTAGGGGCCTGATGGGACCGGAGAACCTTCTGACTACAGGTTTGGGTTTTAATTTTTTTCCTGTAAGTTATCTTCATTTCAACTTATTTTCCTTTTATCAGTTTCCTTTCTTTGTCATTTTTGGCTTTGTTCTTGTGTATTTTACTAATTTATTGGTGTTTACTAAAGGTAAGGAATTTGATCATGACTTTGATATCTGACTGTACTCTACTTTCATCATATTTATCTGCTATTTTTCCCTTCCCCACATACTGAATTTGACAAGTACTTCCCATTATAGAAAGGCTATCCCCCTGCCTGCTCATGACCTGTAGGAAGCAAAATGTGAAACTTGTGTTTGTGGAACTGGCATGTTTGTAGTAACACTTTCTCTAGTTTCCAGCTTTTATTCTGAAAAGGGCATTTCATTCCATTGAGGTCTGATTGTAGGACTTACCTCGGTGTTGTGTGTATGCTATGTTCTTTGACAGTTGTGTACATGGACGAGTCTTTAGTGTTCCTGGGTAAGGGCATCTTGATCATGAAGTATGATCTTTGGTGTTAAATTTGATGTGCACTATTACTCTCATTCAGGATTTTCCAATCTGTCAGTCAAGGCTATTGCCTGATACTAGGATCTTTTTTAAATTTCTTACATGGTTTGAGAATTAGGGTAATACTTCTTTTATGAAAAGAGTTTGAAAGTGTCCCTTCCCTGGGTTTTATGTACTACTGAAATCTTGCTGATCATTGCTGTGAGTTGTTGAGACTGTAGAAGTTGATTTCCAGTTGTTTTGGTTTTGCATTCTGGGACTTAGGTTTTCTGTTTCATAATTATATTTATGTTTATATATTTATTATATAAATTATTATATATTATATATTATATAATATATATATTATATAAATTAAATTATATAAATTATTATAATATATTTATTATATAAATATTATATATTTATATATATTTATTATATATTTTCTTTTGATTTACTATTCTTTCATGCAGTACATCCTGACTGCATCCTCCCATCCCTCCACTCCAACCAGTTGCTGCCCACCTCCTCTCTCTTCCAGATCCACTGCTCCTCTGTTTCCCTTAAAAGAGAGCAGGCTCCCTAGGGACAGCAACTGAACATGGAATGACAAGATGCAATGAGATTATATTTAAATTTTTGTTT